TAACACCGTTATGACACCCCATACAGTGTCCTCTACAACGTTATGACACCACCATACAGTGTCCTCTACCACGTTATGACACCCCCATACAGTGTCCTCTACAACGTATGACACCACCATCCAGTGTCCTCTACCACGTTATGGCACCACCTTTCAGTGTTCTTTCACCAACGGTCTGACACGACATACAGTGTCTCCTATCCTTTGTGTGTTTTTTTATTTTTATGTATTTTCTTGTTTTGTTCCTCTCTTCAAACTCAAGTTGGTTAGTTTCTATCCTCCTTGAGTTTGCAGGGGGCTGTTAGAATTTACCATCACCTACCACACACTTACCATCACCTACCACACACTCACCTACTACACTCATCTACTCCTCACCTACCATCACCTAACCTACATCTATATAATCAATCAATTGTAACAGAATCAGATATCAATCATCAACTCATCAATCAATAATACATTTATTTTTTTACATATGTGAAATTAGATAAAATTGAAGTATATTTCATTCACATTTCACTAACCTTTTCTATTTTCTTTTTCAAATCACTCTTCAAATCTCTCAACCAAACACAGCTTCAGGAAAATAAGCTCTTGTGAGGGCGAGTCTTTAGTGTAGTTTTTGTTTATAACTTTTATGTTGAAATCAACTATTAAGAATCTTGAGAAGTTAAGAAGGAATATTTTGACTTCTGTTTTTTGATAATTAATTTTTACCTTGTAGACTGCATGAAACAAATCTGCATAATCAAAGTACCAAAATTGGGGATTAATTAGGTAGCTCAAACATTCTTCTACGATGGTATGAGCTAAAATCCCAAAGCACTTGCTATACAACAGACTGAAAACGAACCCAAAATCTTTTCTGGGACTGGGACAAGAGAGACTATAGGTCCTTGCCAAACCTAAACCAGTTTCAAAATTCCACAGAAAGTACACCAAGCAACATGATTGTCACTTAGAAGAAAAAAAAAAGAAAATAAATAAAAAGAAAAAAACACCAAAACAAAACAAAACAAACAAAAAAAACCAAAAAAATAAAAAAAAGACCAAAACAAAACATGCATTTTCGGCAGCTCCAGAATATGATTTTCCAGTTGGTGCAATGGTAATCAAATACTAGATTAACAAATTCTTCCCTAAAAAGAAAGAAAAATACAGAGATTTTATAGGACATGCATGCATGTATTGTCAACAATAGTGGTGAAGGCCTTGGCGAAAGGATCAGAACTTCTAACCTAACAATGGAGATCTTGGGACAGTAGCAGCATCACATCAGCATAATTATTGATTTCACCCACCATCATATTTGGCGTAGGCAATAGCTTTGTTGCGAGATATCAATCATCTGATCAAAGAAATTATAATTAGATTCTCAGCATTAATGTCAGAAAGAATAACGTTGTCGATCATCTCTGTATTATCCTCAGTTGATGTAAAATAAGGCACATCCAAAAGCAATTACAATTAGTTTCTCACGTTTCACAGCGTTGTCATTGTGAGCTAGAGCATGTTGCATCAGGACAATTTAATTGATGATTTTGAGTAATTAGGACTGACCTTCTATTTTCAGTGACAGAAGTGGCATGTTGGGGTTTTAGATTGGTGTATTTTGTTGTCAAGAATTGTTCCTAATGAACAGGAGAACAAAGGCTGACTATTAAGAATGAGCAACAAAAGCTAATCACACCAGTTGATTCTGAGGCAGCAGAAGGAAAAATCCATAATCACTCAATCAACAAATAACTGAAAATAATCAGTTACTGCAGATACTCGGCTGTTTGATCATAGCTATATTTGTAACTTGCAGGTTTATAATTAGCGAAATCAGAAGCATATACTTCTAGAACTTGTTTGTGAGCATGAGAGTATTAGCATCCTCCCAATACATAATTCTTTCGGGATAAGAATTCCCGATGCAAATGACTGATGGTGGAAAGATTCTAGTGTTAAACCGTATGTCTGCTTGGTTGTGGGTTCAACATGTGCCTGTTTCTAGGAAGGCAGAAGATAAGCTTTGTCTTCCCTTTGTTAACTTTTCTAATTAGTTTCTTCTTCAAGGAACTGATCTCAGGAAATGAAATGTAATTAGTTCATCACCATCACGCTTAAAGCCTTTTGAACATGTAGATTGAATCTGTGTTGTGTGCAGAATAAGCAATACTGCTATAGATAGAAGAAAGAAAAGCAAGTATGTAGCAGGTGAAATTATTCAAATTGCATTTTGTATATTTTTCTTCCTTAAATTTGAAGCTCTTATCATTCTTAAGATTACAAATGATCAAATAATAGATAGAGAAGTATAAAGTTAAAATCCACAGCAAATCAAAATTGAGATTTTAAACACCACTCACATTATCATTAGTTTGTAATTAAAAATGCCTATTTTACACACTCCCAAAACAAGGTTTAGAGACATATCATCACACATATAAACACTACATTTCACATATACAATTAAATAGTTGTATACATTAATTTTAACTAGAGATTTCAATGGATTTAACATCAGGATTCCTAACCTCAACCTTGAGAAATGTAACGGTAAGTTCTCCGTTCTCCATTGACGCCTTGACCGCATCCATTTTCGCATTTTCCGGCAGCCGGAACCTCCTCGTGAACCTGCCGGAGCTGCGCTCGACACGGTGCCAAGTATCGTTCTTCTCCTCCTCGAAATTCCTCTCACCGCTGATCTGCAAAACCCTATCGTCTTCCTCGATCTCGACCGTCACTTCCTCCTTCAGACCAGGAAGATCGGCCTTGAACATATGAGCTTCCCGTGTTTCCTTTCAGTCCAGGCGGGTGCTCGCGAATGCCGAATTTTCCCGAGAAAGTTGATGGCAAGGGAAGTCTAGAGAGAAGGGATCGAAGATGGGTGCCTCGTCGGTTGCCGAAGAAGATGCTTGGGATCAGCGACATCTTTTGCTTATTGGATTTGATAATGAAATCGAATTCAAGGAGATGAAGCTAGTTGATTTTGATTTGCAGCAGTGTTTGTTTACTTTACAACTCTGTTGGGTTGCCGAGAAATTGTCCATGTTAGGTATTTAAAGCAAGCAGAGGAGTGTTCCAGTACTGTCCTGGCTAAAATTTATTGGGCAAATTATACTAACCGTACATATAATTCGGAACTTGTATTACTTTAATCTCTGAATTTTTAATTGTGCTATATTTTATCATAAATTTTGAATTTTATTCTAAATAAGAATAATTAAAGATATAATAGTTTTACAACTTATTTTTTTAATGACAGAGATATTTTTTTTTTGCAAGTGGTCCATTTTAATGACAAAGTTGTCTTACAACTTATTTTATGTTGGTTAATTTGTATTTTTCTTGAAATATAATAGTCTTGAATAATGATTTGTAACTCGAATTCCCCCCCTAATCCTCCGAATGCCCAAAACGACGCTGTTTTGGGCATTCTTTTTTTTTTTTCTTCTTTTTCTTCTTCGTCTTGCAGGTCTGAAACAGAGGGAGAGGAGAGGAGAGGGAGAGGGAGAGGGAGAGGGAGAGAGAGAGAGAGAGGAGGCAGGTCGTCGTCGTAGCCCCCTCCGCCGCCGTCGCAACCCTCCCTGCTTTTTAGTAGTGGGAAGTCTAGAGTGAAGGGATCGAAGATGGGTGCCTCGTCGGTTGCCGAAGAAGATGCTTGGGATCAGCGACATCTTTTGCTTATTGGATTTGATAATGAAATCGAATTCAAGGAGATGAAGCTAGTTGATTTTGATTTGCAGTAGTGTTTGTTTACTTTTACAACTCTGTTGGGTTGCCGAGAAATTGTCCATGTTAGGTATTTAAAGCAAGCAGAGGAGTGTTCCAGTACTGTCGTGGCTAAAATTTATTGGGCAAATTATACCGTACATATAATTTAGAAGTTGTATCACTTTAATCTCGAATTTTTAATTGTGCTATATTTTATTCTGAATTTTGAATTTTATTTTAAATAAAAATAATTAAAGATATAATAGTTTTACAACTTTTTTTTTTAATGACAAAGATATAATATTATTTTTTGCAAGTGGTCCATTTTAATGACAAAGTTGTCTTACAACTTATTTTATGTTGGTTAATTTGTATTTTACTTGAAATATAATAGTCTTTTTTTAATGAATAATAGTAGCACTTTCTTAATTATAAAGTTCTGTTTGATTTGATTTGATTTTTAGAAAAAATTTCTAAAAAATTAAAAATTAAATTTGTGAAATTTTTTTTAAAACACATCATTTTTATATAATTTTATCTTTTGGAAAGGTACAAATAATTTTTAAAATTAAATTATTTTGATGTTTATTTTCGTTAAATTAGTTTCTATTTTTTCAAAAATCAAATATAACGACAATTTTGATATTATTATTAAACTAATCCGTTAAATCAAAAAATCCAAAACTTAAAAATATTTTATATATTAAATTTATCGATTACACATTAAAAGGATAATAATCATTCATTACATGATAACCATAAAAAAAATCTGTTAACAACAAAAACAAAAACATCAATAAAAACAATTACTCATTTCATGATTATCATCCAAACACATACTAAAAATTAATTTAGTAAAAAAATAGATGTATAAAAATGTAAAAGATTTATTATTTTTATATAATTTTATTTTTGGTGGGTATAAATAATTTTTAAAAAATTCAAAAATAACTTTTTGACATTTATTTTTGTCAAAATAGTTTATAGCAAATTAACGACTTTGTCTTTGAAATTGAGCATTTTCCATTTGCAAAGGAAATAATGCCTTCAATTGTTCTTATTTAGAACAAGATTTAAAATTTAATGTCAAATGTATCACAATTGAAAAGTCAATGATCAAAATGACACAAATTTTAAACTACAGATACTGTTAGCGTAATTCGTCCAAATTTATTTGTTTAAAGCCAATTTCGGCCCAACATGTAGTAGACCTCACGGATAATGTTAGAGATCTCAAATGAATTACTAAATATTCTACACACTCTAAATGAATTATGAAAGTTAGGGGAGTGAATGAGATTAGATACTCTAGTTGTCCTAACTGTGAACAACGGGCACTAGGGGCTATGCGTATCGATTTGTGCATAGTATTGTCACTAACGTGTTAAGTGTCGCGCTCGGGGAGTACATTCGCAAGAATGAAACTCAAAAAAAATTGATAATTTATTTCGGGTCTCTAACACTTTTGAGGCCTCATGCAATTTAATATTATTATTTTAGGAATATTTTTTACATATTTGTCTCTTGTTTTGATATTAAAAAAAAAATTAAGATTTTTTAAATGTATGTTTTGTGTTTGTGAAATTATTATTTGGTACTCATAATTATATGGAGAAATTTATTAATATGATAAATGATTTGAACATTTTAATTTTTGTTTGTGAAATTTAATTTATTTGTGTTAATTTATAGTGAAAAATGTAAAATATATAAGTAGTTGAATTGTATGTTTAAAAATTATTTTTGTAATGAAAATATATCATTACAAATTAGAGTATGACCTATGAATAAATAAGTCTGACCAATAAAATCAGTTGTAATTGCGCCTAATACTTAAGGGAAAATAACATCCCAATTAGAAATGGCAATAGGTTGGGCAGGATAGGGAATTACACTCCCCGTCCCCGATCCTCGAAGGTAAAAAAATTCCTATCATCGCCCCTGCCCCCAATCCCCGGAGGGGACGCCATCACCCCTCACCCCCACTCCCTAACGGGGATCGAGTTTCCCCGGCCCTAAAAAATCCCCGACCTTTTTTCTTTTTTCTTTTTAATTTTGTTCAACACAAGAACAACAAAAAAATTTAATCTATTTTCAGTATATGTCGTCGTCATCATCATCATCATCATTAACAACAACAATCATCAACAAAAGCTGGTTTTTCAGAAAAATTGCTGGCCTTCCACTCTCCTACAACCTTTCTAACAACGAAAATAAGGTCTCTACCAAAAATGAACCCAAACCGATGCAAAACGAAGGTTCGGGGGCCCTGAAAATGGACTGTTAAGCACCAGAGGTGGCGTTTGACCACGAAGTTGGTCTCTCGGGCCACAGTGTTCCCCAAAAGGGAGGAAATAAGGTGTATGCCAAAAATCGGAGCAAACGGAGGTGGTTAAGCGGTCCCGAACCGAGGCACACGGCCGTCGGCTCCGAAAAATCGGAAACCGGGCTCCAAACGGGAAAAATGGCCTACGACCACAAAACGTAGCCTACGGCCACTGAGTACACTCCCCGTCCCCGATCCTCGAAAGTAAAAAAATTCCTATCCTCGCCCTTACCCCCGATCCCCGAAGGGGACGCCATCACCCCCCACCCCCACTCCCTAACGGGGATCGAGTTTCCCCGGCCCTAAAAAATTCCCAACCTTTTTTCTTTTCTTTTTTTTAATTTTGTTCAACACAAGAACAACAAAAAAATTTAATCTGTTTTCAGTATATGTCATCATCATCATCATCATCATCAACAACAACAATCATCAACAACTTAAAAAAAAAAAGACCTGAAATTGTTCATTAACTACAGGCATCTGAGGGGACTCTTTCTTCACCTCAGAGCTCTTTCTCTCTCTCTCTCTCTCTCTCTCTCTCTCTCTCTCTGTCACTCTTTGTAACATTTGAAAACCCTAACTGTTGGCATATACAAGCTCAAAAATTATTCATTTTCTGTTGTTGTTGTTGTTCATTACACACACACACACACACATACACACATATGTATCTATTAGATCTAAGAAAACCCTAACAAAAAGAATAAAAAAAAATTAGATCTCAGAAAGCCTAAACAAAAAAATTTAGATATGAGTTGTTGTCATAGATCATATCAGAGAAAGAGAATTTGATTACACCGGGTCGAATTAGAAATTGGAACCTTTTCTGGCCAAATGTTGTTGAACTCCGGACCCTCGTCGGTCGACTCATCTGCTAGATGTGTTCGCCTACTGTCGCTGCCGAGCCTTTGCAGTGGTGCAAAATCCTAACCCTAGGGTTTCGAGGGGACGATGGAGGAGGAGGTGAGTTGTAAGAGGAAACGAAGAAGTCAGCGTTTTGGAGAGAAATGAGAGAGATCGGCGGTGATAGAAGGGTTTTAGAGAGAGAGAGGAAACAGTCTGAGCGGCTTGTGTGTGAGGATGTGTAAGGGTTTGGTTTATATATATATATATATATATAGAGGGGTATAATAGTAATTTTAATTCGAGGGAAATGGGGACGGGAACAAGCCGAGGCTAGGGCTGGGGAACGTATCACCGTCGCTGGCCTGAAAATTGTCGGGATTGATTTTCAAATACCATCCCCGGCCCGTTAGAAGTATTTTTCGGGAAAAAACCGTTCTAATCGGGGTCGGGGGGCCGAGTCCCTATTGAGTTGGGTTCAAATTGCCATCCCTAATCCCAATGGTATCTGACACCACTAAAAAAGTTTCAGCAACTACAATACTAGTGAAAAAATAAAAATAATTACCAAAAGGAAGAAAACTTTAAGCAGAGGCTTGGGTAAAAATTTAGAAACATGAAATAAATTTGGGTCACCGCAACCCCTTTTCCCTATTGACGTCTCATTCCCTTATTGTTACACTTCTTTCCACCATTGACCCCTTTCCTTCTTTTCTTTTTCTCATTGTCTTGTTGGTTTTGGTTCTTTGAAAAAGTTTCATTCGACTCTAATTTATTGAACAAATTAAGAGGGTGAAATTAAAATTTTATGGTAAGGTAAAATTGTAATAATAAAAGGTAAATGCTACTAGCATCTACATCTTTTATTTGGACCACCCACATTCCCATAATTTTTTATTGCAAATCTATCCTATCATAAAATTTCATTTTTACTCTTAACTATCCAAACCTTAACCCTAAGCCCCCTCCACTTAACCACCACGTATCACTATTATCACCAGTTACTATTAGGGATGGTCATTTTAATCTGATCCGTGAGGGTCGTCCATACCCGTCCAAATGAAGCGGATTTTATCCAACCCAACACTTATGTGGGGCGGGGTAAGATTATATTTTGGTCACTCGCAATGAGAGTGGGGTGGGGATGGGTATCACCTCCCCCAATCTAAACTCGACCCGATATAATTAAAAAATATATAAA